TTTCACATGCGGAGTTCCCCCCCCCCACCCCCCGGGAATGGCACTTGGTTGCAGAAAGGAGTTTATGGACAGTATTATGATTGACAATCATGAAGTCAGATCCACTGAATGTCTCAAGCTATTAGGTGTCTGTATTGATAATAATCTTTGTTTTGACGAACATATAAGTAGTATCTCTAAGAAGAGCGCCCAGAAGGTAGGCGTTCTCATGAGGCTTAGGAAACTAAGTTACAGTTATACATGTATAAGGCAGCTGTTCTCCCGTATTTAACCTACTGTCATCTCATATGGCATTTTTGCCATGCTAGCGATTCTAGACGACTAGAGTGTATCCAGTGTGTATATTGTGATAAACATTCGTCCTATGGTCAATTACTATCTATGGCCAGGCTATCTACTCTACACAACCGGCGACTACAGGACATAGCTGTTCTCATGTATAAAAAAAGTTAAAAACAACATGTGCCCAACATACATTAGCACTCTCTTTGAACAACCTGCAATTAAGTATGAACTACGCAATCATGACTTCACTATACCCAGATTCAACACAGTCTCCTTTGGAAAGCACTCGCTCAGGTATATGGGCCCAAAGGTATGGAGTTCTGTCGCTAGTAACATGAAAAAAGCTTCCATGTTGTCCTCCTTCAAGTATAACATCAGATATATATATTAGATAACAATAACTGTGCTAACTGCTCTCTTTGCATTTCTTAATTCTTTATTTTTTATAAGATAATGGATACATTTGTACGTATTGTTTATAGTTCTCCCAAGTTTCTCATTTGCTTATACTGTACATAGTTTTTCTTAATTTCTTAATTCTTATATTCTGCTTTTTTTCATTTTTAATTAATTAATTTATTGATTTATTCGTTTTAAACTTATTTTAATGACCCCACTTATATTATAATTACGTATAATTAGTGGTTATACACCGCTATTACAGTTTTGACAATAAAGATATCTATCTATCTATCTATCTATCTATCTATCTATCTATCTATCTATCTATCTATCTATCTGTCTTTTAAATAATCTGACAAAATTGCATCGCCTGTAAAGTAAAGATATATCCTTTGCGCGTATCGCTGGCACGAAGAAGAATGATTGGGAATAGCGGGCAAATTAAAATACAAGGATTTGCTTACCTTTGTCCTTCTAGAGTTCAGTTCCTGATGATATGTTGATCTTCTTTCTCGCATCCATGGGGCAAAGCAATCTTAAATTTTTCAAAGAAGAAGAAAAGTTTTAGATGGACTTTAACGCTGACTGCCCAGGGAGTATGTCACAAACTCTTTTATAGCGAGAGAAGCGAAAACGTGTCATTCTTGTCCCCAGAGCCCGTCGTTTCCTGGTCACGTGGTCTGGGGAAGAGATTCTGTAGAGCTTTCTTTGGGCTCGAGTGGGCAGCGTTGTTGTGAGGACACGCGAAAAAAATTCACGCTTCAATCGGGGGGTGGGGCGGGTTGGTGGAGAGCGGAGGGCGGACAAAAAAGGGAATCGAGGAGGAAATAGCAGCGGCAAATTCAAATCTTCAAGTAAAGGAGGCACCTGCTCATCCGGTCTCTTCGATTAGAGGGGGCTCTGCCCCAAAATAATTTTTATCTCACGGTCGTGGCCTAGCCTGTTCCAGGCGTTCAGAACGGATCCTGGAATAGTACAGTTTGGCCATAAATTAAGGTAGGGGCCCGGCCCCCCCTACCCTACATCCCCACTATCTGAACGTGTGCAACAGGTTATTTATGAATGAAATCAAACCACGGACCAATATTGTCATAATTTTATCTATTATATCTTCTGTGAGTCCGTAAGATTTTCTCGTGGTATTCCTAAATATAGATCACGAAACTTATCTGCTCTCCTCTGCTGCTGTTCGCATATTACACCCGTTTTTCTGTTTGGATCGCCGTTACTGTCTCCGGAGAAAAATTAATGATGTCCAGTCTTTTATATCTGAATCGAAGAGATTTTACAAAAGTACCCAGACATGTATGTTCCACCTGTTAACATTCCTTAAATATATTCTTCTTTTTGTTGCCGCTTATTGCTTTTTTTTGGGATTTAATGATATTTCGAAGTGAGCCCTCTCGTTGAGTCTTTTGTTATTCTTAAGGCAAACTTTGTCAATAAAATATGCTTAAATAAAAAAAGGCATATGCTATACAGGACTCCCTTGTATAACGCCACAAGGCTCTCCAACCACTCTATAGCCCATAATATTTTTTTCACGTTAGAGGGCACTCGAAAGGTATAATCTTGGTCCCGAAATACCCTATTTCCTAACGTTTATCTAAGCGAGGCTAAATGGTGTGTCTTCACCCTCTGTACTACAGAGAGTCGGGAATAAATAATGCTCAGCACCCTCTTGCATAAGGCAGGAGTTCAACAGGTACAGAGTATGTACACGCATCGAAGTAAAGAAAATTTCGGTTATTTACAGGTTGATAACGTCAACAATTCGTCTGGGAAAGACTCGCATGTCAAAGGAATTAGAATGCTTGTGGGAAAGTTGGTGTAAAATCCCCCAAACTGAGGCTCGAAAGATGATCGATCTGCGAGTGTGGTTCAAGCTTTATTCATCTGACCACTCAAAGATGACACAGCCAAAAAAATTTTTTAGAAAACTGATCCTCTTAGGATAGCCTAGACTTGCTACAAGTCGACCTCTTGGCGAGCGGAGCGAGCCTCTTTTGGCCGGATAGCCTGAAATTCAAACGATTACTGCGAGTCGTTTTTGCTCCCTCGGCAACTGAGGGAGTAAAAACGACTCGAAGTAATCGTCTGAAATTAAGGCTACTTAAAGGAAGTTCTTCGTACCAAATGCTTCTTTCCCTCTTCTTCTCCTTTGACTGAGAAATGGGTTTGGTACTCGTCCTTCAGGACACTTTAATTCTGAAAGGAGTTCTCTTTATGTCTCTTGAAGGGAGGAAGCTTGTAAGCACCCATAGCCCTTGACGGCTGGTCAAGCACAGAAACTAGTAGGGAGTTTAAGCAGCGACGTTTTTGAGCGACGCACATCAAACGGAAGTGAGCTTTTTTCTCTTTTAATATACCTTGACTTTACATAATTTGTATTGCTGAGTGTCTTTACTCTTATAAAGACATAGATAATAGTGATAAGGACAATTTGCCCAAAAATCATCACGGCTCAAGAGTGCAAGTCCACTTCCGGTTGACATGCGTCGCTCAAAAACGTTGCTGCTAAACTCTCGAACTGTTTCATTACTTGACCTTAAGCCTGCACCGCAAACGAAACTTTACTTTGATTAAGTCCCTCTGCGGGGAGGGGAACTCGTGTATAGGCTGCCCAGATTATTCAATCTGTCCGTTGTACAAGTAGCCTGCATCGCGGGAAACGTAATTTAACCACGGTTAGTAACGTCTACCAAACAGCGCCGAGATCCTTGTTCTGGGCCCCCAAAAGACTCAACGAATTACCGGAAGTGCGTTTTGAATTTCCTTTTCAACCTGATTGGCAAATTGGCAATGGCATTTTTACTTGTACCACGGAGACCCTGAAGGATTAAATAATCGGGCCAGCCTATACATGGGTGATAGAATTAATATTAATGGTTGACGAAATCATTAACCACATTCAACTTGCACGCTTTTATTAAAAATCACTGCCAGAAACACGGACGTACACGTTTAGAGTGGAGAACGCCGTTCTGCGCCTGACGAAGGAAAACGTGCGGCTTTCGGTAGTCCGTTAACATTCGGCCTTTTTGAGTCACTTAAATACATTGTCTTTTACTGCTTAAAACGACTGATTCGAAGTCCCTTTCTTGGGGCCTGCATAACACAGTACACTTAGTCAGTGACTTAGTTGCGTAACGGAAAATGCCCCCGTAGCAAGCGTTTCCGCCCGAGTCCGCTTCCTCCGTTTCTCCGCTTTCGTTGCAACATTCGCCAACAAACTCGCGTGGAGACGCTTGCTACGTAGGCTTAGGCCTGTTTCAAAGGTCGTGCTTCAGGCGTTCTAAGCTGCCTCAACTTCAGTTCGACTGTAGCACGACTTGGTTTCAGACGTCGAATTTTACTACGTCAAAAAAAAAATTACCTTTTGTTGAAAAAAAAAATTTATAATGAAAAGCGGTTTAGTGAACCTTTAATATGTATTCTAATGTATTTATAATTGATGAATTGAGTTCGGCACGGCAGTAGGACGACGTTTGAGACCAGTCGTGCTACTTCTGCGCTAAATTCGAATTTAATTCAATCAATTTAATTCAGCACTGCAGTACCATGACGTTTGCATGGAGATGTCTTAGTTGCTAGGAAAACTGTCAGGATCTTGTAAAAGTGACAGCAGGATTTAGTCTATTAATCAAATCCATTTTTAGACTGCATATCCTGTATACCTCATGCCAGGTCAGCAAACGTCCCCACACCCCAGGTCTCCGGGACTCATTACCCCTACCTAACATTTTCTACGTAGTGTCTTCATAAAACTATAATTTGGATGTTGATAAATTAAACAAACCCTTCTAACGAGTTATTAATTTATTCTCTAAAATTAAGGAAGCTTGATTACTACGTAGTTAATAAACAATTTTAAGCTTCGCGCCGAAGGATTACACTTACCGTACACCATATTACTTTAGGGCTACAATTAAAGATTTGTCTCAGTAACCGTATTCATAAATTGTAGCTATTCATAGACTACATCTTCATTGTCAGTGTTAAAGAAGCTGCTATGCAAATGAGGTTTCTCTTTTTGAGGGGGGGAGGGAGGAGGTATACATGTATCTACAAATATCTACTTGAGAGTGTACTGTACGAGAAATTAACCCTTTTTTAAAGTTCAATTCTGAATCTGAATTATTCACAGCAGCCACTAAGGAGTTTCTGTACTAATTAAGATAAATTTCAAGTCTCAACTTCGAAAGTCTAGACGACTTAACATTCACAGGAAGTAAATGTACTGTTTTCTTTTTTTACTCGCCTTGCCATGAATTCAGTATTTCGGAATTCAGATGTGACTGGTTTTACCGTTACTACGGTAACGTTTCAATATTCAGTCGAGGTTGTTTTTCTTTGACGGCCTCCTGAACATACTTCAAATCTTCTTCTGAACAATCTCCTCGCCGAAAATAAACCACTTTAAGTTTTTGCTGTCCAAGCAAGTATGGGACCATTGATCTTACTGCGTGTCCCAGTGGATTGCCCCTCAGGTACAAACAATGAAGATCAGGCGTGAATTTCAAATTCTCGAGCAAACCAGACAAGTCACCTTCACCCATAGCTAAGTCTTCAAGTTTTAATACTTTCAAGCAGGGGAAGAGGCGCAGGTTTTTCACAAGGGGAGCAAGACTTCCTCTCGCAGTGAAATCAGTAAACCACAATTCCTTTAAAGAAGACGGTCTGTTAAATCTGCCAAACAACGCCTCCACTTCCTTATGCTGCAACCTGCATTCATCCAAGCCACTTATCACCAGTGTTTGTAAGGCCGATAATTCAGGTAGCGACTGACCAAGCGTCTCGGCTGCTACTGACGTCACGCTGATTTCACTCAGTTCCACTTCCTCGAGATCAGAGCATTCAGTCAAGCCACTTATCTTCAGTGTTTGTAGGGCTGATAATTCAGGCAGTAACTGACCGAGCGCCTCGGCTACTGCTGACGTCAGGTCTATTTCACTTAATTCCAGTTCCTCAAAGGGCTTATTCTTAATAACATCAATCAATCTTGTTACTGCTTCAGCAGACAATTCAGTCACGCCACTTATCTTCAGTTCTCGAAATAATGAAAACTCTAACTGCAAACTGCATCCATCCGAGCCACTTATCGTCAGGTTTTGTAAGGATGGCAATTCAGACAGCGACTGACCCAGCGCTACGGCTGCTGCTGACGTCAGGTTTATTTCACTCAGTTCCAGTTCCTCGAGAGTCTCTAGCTTGATAGCGGCAACCAATTCTGTTACCGCTTCATCAGAGGATTCAGTCAAGCCACTTATCTTCAGTGTTTGTAGGGCTGATAATTCAGGCAGTAACTGACCGAGCGCCTCGGCTACTGCTGACGTCAGGTCTATTTCACTTAATTCCAGTTCCTCAAAGGGCTTATTCTTAATAACATCAATCAATCTTGTTACTGCTTCAGCAGACAATTCAGTCACGCCACTTATCTTCAGCTCTCGAAATAATGAAAACTTTAACTGCAAACTGCATCCATCCGAGCCACTTATCGTCAGGTTTTGTAAGGATGGCAATTCAGACAGCGACTGACCCAGCGCTACGGCTGCTGCTGACGTCAGGTTCATTTCACTCAGTTCCAGTTCCACGAGAGTCTCTAGCTTGATAGCGGCAACCAATTCTGTTACCGCTTCATCAGAGCATTCAGTCAAGCCACTTATCATCAGTGTTCGTAAGGCCGTTAATTCAGGCAGCGACTGACCAAGCGCCTCGGCCGCTACTGACGCCAAATTGATTTCACTTAGTTCCAGTTTCTGGAGAGTTTTGTGCTTGATAGCGGCAACCAATTTTGTTACCGCTTGATCAGAGTATTCAGTCAAGCCACTTAACTTCAGTGTTTGTAAAGCTGATAATTCAGGCAGCGACTGACCAAGCGCCCCCATTGCTGCTGACGTCACGTTGATTTTACTCAAGTCCAGTTCCTTGAGAGTCTTGTGTTTGAAAGCAGCAAAAAGTCTTGTTCCTGCTCCGTCAGACCATTCAGTCAAGCCATCTATCTTTAGTGTTTGTAAGGCTGATAATTCAGGCAGCAACTGACTGAGCGCCTCGGCTACTGCTGACGTCAGGTTGATTTCAATCAATTCCAGTTTCTTAAAGGGCTTATTCTTAATAACATCAATCAATCTCGCTACTGCTGCAGCAGAGAATTCAGTCAAGCCACGTATCTGCAGTTTTAGGAAAACTAACTGCAAACTGAATCCATCCGAGCCACTTATCTTCAGTTTTTGTAGGAAATGTAATTCAGGCAGCGACTGACCCAGCATCACGGCAGCAACTGGCGTCGAGTTGATTTTACTCAGTTCCAGTTCCTCAAGAGTCTTGTGCTTGATAGCGGCAACCAATCTTGTTACTGCATCATCAGAACATTCTATCAAGCCACTTACTTTCAACGTTCGTAAAGCTGACAATTCAGGCAGCGACTGACCAAGTGACTCGGTTACTGCGGATGTCAGATGGATTTCACTCAGGTCCAGTTTCTCGAGAGTCTTGTGCTTGATAACGGCACCCAATCTTGTTGCTACTTCATCAGAGCATTTTATCAGGCCACTTAATTTCAATGTTCGTAAAGCTGTTAATTCAGGCAGCGACTGAACGAGCGACTTGGCAATTGTTGACGTCAGGTTCATTTCACACAGTGTCAATTTCTCGAGAGTCTTGTGCTTGATAGCGGTAACCAATTTTGTTACTACATCATCAGAGCATTGTGCCAAACCACTTATCTGTAGTGTTTGTAGGGCCGATAATTCAGGCAGCAACTGACCAAGCGCCTCGGCTACTGCTGACATCAGGTGGGTTTCACTTAGTTCCAGTTTCTCAAGAGGCTTGTGCTTAATAACGTTAATCAATCTTGTTACTGCTTCAGCAGAGAATTCAGGCCACCGTTTTATCTTCAGTTCTCGTAATACTGGAAACTCTAACTGCAAACTGCATCCATCCGAGCCACTTATATCCAGTTTTTGTAGGGATGGCAAATCAGGCAACGACTGACACAGCGTCACGGCTGCTGCTGACGTCAGGTTCATTTCACTCAGTTCCAGTTCCTCGAGAGTCGTGTGCTTGATTGCGGAAACCAATTTTGTTACCGCTTCATCAGAGCATTCAGTCAAGCCACTTATCGTTAATGTTTGTAGAGCTGGTAATTCAGCCAGAGACTGAGCGAGCGACTCGGCAGTTGTTAACGTCAGGTTTATTTCACACAGATCCAGTTTGTTGAGAGTTTTGTGCTTGACAGCGGTAACTAATTTTGTTACTGCATCATCAGGGCATTCTGCCAAACTGCTTATCTTCAGTGTTTGTAGGGCTGATAATTCAGGCAGCAACTGACCAAGCGCCTTCGCTATTGCTGACGTCGGACACTGGACTTCCAGTTTCTCAAGAGGCTTTTGCTTAATAACGTCAATTAATCTTGTTACCGCTTCAGCAGATAATTCAGTCACGCCACTTATCTTCAGTTTTCGTAATACTGAAAACTCTAACTCCAAACTGCCACTTATCGTCAGGTTTTGTAAGGATGGCAATTCCCGCAGCGACTGACCCAGCGCAACGGCTGCTGTTGGCGTCAGGTTCATTTCACTGAGTTCCAGTTCCTCGAGAGCCTTGTGCTTGATAGCGGTAATCAATCTTGTTACTGCATCATCAGAACATTTTATCAAGCCACTTACTTTCAATCTTCGTAAGGCTGATAATTCAGGCAGCGATTGACCGAGCGACTCGGCTGCCGCAGTTGTCAGGTTTATTGTACTCAGTTCCAGATCCTCGAGAGTCTTGTGCTTGATACCGGCAAAAAGTCTTGTTCCTGCTTTAGCAGAGCAGAAAGTCACGCCACTTATCTCCAGTGTTTGCAAGGCTGATAATTCAGACAGCGACTGGCCGAGCGATTCGGCTGCTGCAGTTGTCAGGTTTATTTCACTCAGTACCAAATACACGAGGGTCTTGTGCTTGATACCGGCAAAAAGTCTTCTTCCTGCATCAGCAGAGCATAAAGTCACGCCACTTATCTCCAGTACTTCCAAGGCTGATAATTCAGACAGCGACTGGCCGAGCGATTCGGCTGCTGCAGTTGTCAGGTTGATTTTACTCAGTTCCAGATTCTTGAGAGTCTTGTGCTTGATACCGGCAAAAAGTCTTGTTCCTGCTTCAGCAGAGCATAAAGTCACGCCACTTATCTCCAGTACTTGCAAGGCTGATAATTCAGACAGCGACTGGCCGAGCGATTCGGCTGCTGCAGTTGTCAGGTTGATTTCACGCAGTTTCAATTGCTCAAGAGTCTTGTTCTTGATACCGGCAAAAAGTCTTGTTCCTGCTTCAGCAGAGCATAAAGTCACGTTACTTATCTCCAGTGTTTGCAAGGCTGATAATTCAGACAGCGACTGGCCGAGCGATTCGGCTGCTGCAGTTGTCAGGTTGATTTCACGCAGTTTCAATTCCTCAAGAGTCTTGTTCTTGATACCGGCAAAAAGTCTTGTTCCTGCTTCAGCAGGGCATAAAGTCACGCGACTTATCTCCAGTGTTTGCAAGACTGATAATTCAGACAGCGACTGGCCGAGCGACTCGGCTGCTGCAGTCGTGAGGTTGATTTTACACAGTCTCATTTCCTCAAGAGTTTTGTGCTTGATACCGGCAAAAAGTCTTGTTCCTGCTTCAGCAGAGCATAAAGTCACGCCACTTATCTCCAGTTTTTGCAAGGCTGATAATTCAGACAGCGACTGGCCGAGCGATTCGGCTGCTGCAGTTGTCAGGTTGATGTGACTCAGTTCCAGATTCTTGAGAGTCTTGTGCTTGATACCGGCAAAAAGTCTTGTTCCTGCTTCAGCAGAGCATAAAGTCACGAAACTTATCTTAAGTGTTTGCAAGGCTGATAATTCAGACAGCGACTGGCCGAGCGCCTCGGCTGCTGCAGTTGTCAGGTTTATTCCATGCAGCAGTAGATCCTCGAGGGTATTGTGCTTGATAGAGGCAACCAGTCTTGTTACTGCTTCGGTAGAACATTTAGGCGAGATAAGGGAAAGACTAATGACACGTTTAAACTTTGGCAACAAAGATGCAAGCTCTACTGCTCTCTTTGATGTTAAGTAAGGACAAGTGATAGATAAAGAGCATCTGCGAGGATTTGGTACATGCTTTAAGATATGAGATAAGGAGCTATTACTGAGTGAAACTTCAATGTGTTCCAAGTGATTACAGTTTTTGATGGTTGCAACAAGACTCTTCACTGAAATTTTAATGAAACTGCTCTCTAGAGTTTTCAGAAATTTAAGACTTAAATGACCTGAACTTTGTCGAACTGAACGAGAAGAAACAATATTGTCAGTGATTAGTCTGGCGTGGTTGTCGCAGTGCGCAACCGTTAAGTGTGTGATGTACAAGTAGACCTGGCCATTACGGAAACAAAGTACAAAGGAAAAATCACAAAAAAAACAATGACAAACATGTACGAATTTTTCTAAAAATTCAGCAACTTTGAGAACTTCAGAACCTTGGGTAATCAGTTTTTTAACGATCTCATGAAGTCTCGAGATTGTTCCTTGTCCGTGTCCAAGATACCGGTGACTATCATTCGACACCAAAGACCAAGTGTTTGTATCAATCGCATCTACCAAGAGGTAATCAGGGAATGACTCTGAAACAAGAAGGATACTCCCAAGCGAATCTAAGCAAGCCCTGGAAAGCTCAGCTTTTAATTCAACCTCTTCAAATGCATTTGAAACCAAATCGCTGAATTTCCTCTGACGATCAGTGACGTCACTCAGTGGCGCATCTGTCTCGCCTTCTACGTCCGGCACTGTCTTAGATAAATCCATCGAAGGATCTGACATTCTGACAGACTTCAAATGCCTGAAAGTCGCTAATGCTCCATCTCGACTCAAGCCACATAGAAATGGGAAAACATTCTCTAAAGCCATGCACTCCTCGAATTTCTCTGCAATTTCACCAAGATTTCCGCCTTCAGGTAAACATCTGTAGGTGATGTACCATGCAGCCAGAAACTCCTGTATGCTCTTGTGAATAAAGGAGACCATTCCAACTGGTCGTAAGGCTTCTGTGTAATCGGTGATTTGAAGCAAACCGATAAAGACGCTTTCATCACAACGGACAGAATCGGATAACTGACTGTATTCAAACAAATGATCATCCTTCAGAAGACCTTGTAAAGCGATTTTACCTATTTCTGAGAGGATTTCTTTAAAAGAAGCCACTTCATCATATTGAGGTAGTGATTGCTTGCTCTGGCTGTGATCTAAAATAAATTGGACAATAGCCATATATAAACTAGTTTTAGTCTTTGGAAAGTGTTTTGACTGTCCCCTTTTCCACAAAGTACAGAAAAACAGGAGAAGTAAGGGGACTTTAGCCAGTTCGTCCAATTTTCTCCTCTTCAAGTGATCTTGCAAGTTTGACACTTCCTCGCTATCAAGGAATCTTCGCATGAATTCTTTTCTGTCTACTTCGCTGAACCCTGTGATTTCAGCAAGCAGGTCTTTACCTTCTCGCAGCTCGTCAGCTCTTGAAATACGAGTTGTAATTAATACGCAGCAGCTTCTCAGGCTATTTCCACTAAAAATCTCGTATATTTCTGAGTTGCGTCCAATGCGATATTCGTCGTAGCCGTCAAAGATCAGAAGAACTTTCTCTTGGTTGTTACTGATATAATCAACAAGACCTTCTGTCATATATTTGTCCTCCTTTGCAAACACATTGGATAATCTTATGACTTCTTTAAGGCTCTGACATTTGGAAACTTCTTTGAGATTCACCGCAACCACAAGCTCAAAATTCTTCAGAACAGCTGCTTGCTGATCACCAGCCGCCTTATTAACTTCAACCCAGTCTACAAGCAGCTTCTTAACAAACGTGCTCTTTCCAATTCCCGTCTGCCCTTGTACGAGTATTCTCTTTGGAATGACGCCGCTCTTGTTTGCTGTGAAAAGGTCAGTGTAATTCTTCAGCTCAGACTGTGTTGCTTCAGCTGGAGTTTGTTCCTGTTTCACCCAGGAGAGTCTTGTGTAGATCTGGTGAATGTCAACGACGGATCTTTTACTCCAAACAGAAGTGGGCACAGTTGCTGTTTTTTGGTAATGATTCTCTAGTTTGCTTCGACAGGACTTAAAGTCGAATGGTTGCAAAGATGATGCTTCTGATAGAGAATAAAAAATCAATCAGTCAATCCCACCTTTGTGTAGCTGTACTGTATGTGTAACAACATTGTTTGGGCTCATACAAGAAGCGAACTATACAGCTTAACTATTAAACACTACGACTATAACTTAGTCGAAAAACTCATTAACACATAAAGAAAAAGAGAAAGAAATGTATTTGTAATGGTCGTCTTAAAATCTGATATGCCGAGGCCGAGATTTTAGCTCCGAGCTTCTAGAAAAAGAAAAGCCATCATGTCAAACTCGCCATTCGTGTTTTAACAATTCTATGAATTCTAAAAGACTCAAAGGTGCCTATTGTTTTAAACTTCAAAAACATTACTACTCGTATAAGGATTGGTTTTAACAACTAATTGGGTAGGGTAGATCGATCACGGTAGGGAGATAGAGAAGCGAAACGTCAGCTTCTCTATCTCTCACGGTGCTTTAATATCTAACCAAACAATTACCGTTGAGCGGTCCGATTTGGAAGATGTTTTCTAAGACGCGATAGCCGTTATGATGCAGCCCGAGATTTTACACGTTTTGCGACGACAAGATAGTTGAATTACTTTCGAAAACATAGCAAAACCAGCAAACGATGCTTTTTTACGAATATCTGCAATACTTAACATCCCTTTAAATCCTGAGTTTGCCGAGGAACAGACAAATGTTATGAAAACATGGATTGAGGTAAGCATGTTTTAAGTGAGAAATAATCTGAATGAATAATGAAACAATTGTGAGTAATGTCGTCAACTCCTATGAGAATCATACAAGGTCGTGACGACAAACTTGAACCGAGTTTAACCTGATTTTCACTTTACTACAACATTAAAATAGAAACTCATCACACAGCCTGACACGGAAACCTTCTGACGAAGAAATCAAAATCATTGGTCTTGTTATCACAAACTTAGCTTACCTATTTTTTCATTCTGGGTTATCAAACTTTTCAATTCTTGTCCGATTTCCTGACCCAGTTGATCTACTTTTGCAGCCGTCTCAGCATGACTGTGCTTCAGCAATTCTACTTCATCAGCTGTCTTGGTGTGACTGTGCTTCAGCAATTCCACTTCATGAGTTGTCACGGTCTGCGTTTGCTTTAGTTGATCTACTTCATCTTCCAACGTTTGAATTCGTATGGATATCTGTGCTTCGAAAGACAGAAGCCTTTCCAAAACCTTTCCAACCTCTTTACTTCTGTTATCTGCCGCTGCTTCCTGTAGCTTCTCTTCCATGGCTCCAAGACGTTCATGATGTTCAATCATTTGCGATTTGATAGCATTGCACTCCTTGACGAGATCTCTCACTTCATGTTGTATCAAAAGGAGAAGATCTCTGTCCACAGTATGGCCCAAGATTAAGTCACAACCTAAAATTAATAAAAATAAATGAAGCTTACAGTTGTAAAGTAATTTTTGCCCCATGTAAGGGAATCCAAGGCAGTGTTGGATTCTGGATTCCACGTCAGGGATTCCGGATTCCTGGTACTGGATTCCAATCGCTAGGGCGATTCTGGATTTTTTGTGCTGTATTCCGGATTCCAAAGCCCAGGTTTCCTTTTTCTACATGCCAATTTTTCCCAGATTCTGGATTCAATAAGAAAAATTTCAAGGATTCCGGAATCCGGATTCCCTGACATGAGGTGATATTTTAACATGCCTCTGTTAACTATTTTGCTCCTTACTCATGGTGGACCACTTTTTGAAACTCAACATGGTCCTTAGTCTCCCTCGCAGCCGTTTTTTGGATGTCATGCATCATCAGCGCTCATTGCGTGACATCCAAAAAACGGCTGCGAGGGAGACTACATGGTCCTGTGCTAAATTGTATTTTGAACCACTTCAGATGTTAACCTTATTTTTAATTGACCTACTGTACAGTGTAGATTCTCTGCTAAACTCTACCTGGGTATGTTGAGGACCCTTTACTTGACCCCAAACTGAACTAACTATAAATAGCTGATAGAGCTTAAGATAACTCAGTTTTGACTGACACTTTTGACAATTTTTCACTTTTTGCCTCTGAGTGAGAACCTGGTACAGACTTAATCACCTACTGCTGTCTGTTATGTAACATACATTGTACATGTTAAATTTATAACGTTTATTGATAATTTCATTTGACTAGGAATAAATAACCTTTTGTTTGCCAGTCGTCCAGCTGATCCAATGTCTTCTTCTCCACATCTGCTGTCAGTCCCAGACTCCTCACCAGTGTCTTCAGCTTGTCAAAGCAATCATTAAAGAGAGCATCTGTCCACTCAGTTACATCAACATGGCCCCATTTGTTTCTGACATTTTCCCTGACCTCATCGGCTGAGGCCTGGGAATGTGGGGAGAACACAGCAGCAGGCATGTAGTTCCTAAATTCCAACAGACGAAGGATGGCAGTCATGTCCAGTGAGTCATCAAAGCCTGAAAACTGAGCCAGATAACCTGGCAGATATAACTTGGCCGAATCTACAGAATCATTAATGCTAAAGTTGTAGCTTCTGGAGCGTTTGCCATACAAATGATCATTGTTATTGATATTTTCAAATTTCAGTCTTCTTAAGATGGGATCTGCTTGGACCACACCATGAGTTAATGTCTTCAGAGTACAAGGCGGGTGGAGAAGTTGACAGTGTCCTTCCAGATTTGCATAGTTGGTGTCCATCCCTTGTTTGACAGCATCCCGCAAAACAGGAGCAGCAACTTTGTTCATAGCAATTCCCACAACAATCCATCTCTTCTCTTCATCAGAGACCATCATCTTTGGCAATACAATGCACAGAAAAAAGAAGAAAAATATTAACCCTCTAACTCCAATATCAATACAAACTCGAAAATTGTGTGAATTTAATTAGCACTGGACATCATACTGTAAGGAGAAATATTGTGTCATTAAATAGCATCACCATCAAAATGAAAATAAAATAAAGCCTAAGTTAAGCAGAGCAAGAAAGAAGAAGACATATACTGACAAAACATTACTTTTTTATTTCTTTTTTAGTGGGACTGGAAACTGCTTCTTTATAAAGCCACAAGCAAAAACATTAAAAAAAAAAAAAAAAAAGATTTGCTCATTATGAAACAATCAATGAAAACCCCAAAAAGAGGGGGGGGGAGAGGAAAGCGGGGAAAAAAAGAGGAGACAAGAAAAATATAAAAATTTTTTAAAAAACATACCAGGAGGAGTCCAGGGTGGGAAACGAAAGGTCAATCAAAAAAGTCAAAAAAGCCCCCACCCCAGGGAAAAAATGTAAACAAACAATACTATAATACTATATAAAACGAATGAAAGAACATTTTAAAGTACGTTCTTACTACTTTTATTTAAGGTTAACGGCGTAAGCTCCGTTAAATTACTCGCTGTAATTAAGTATTTTCTCTCTCCACTAGCATCTCTTAATCACTCCAGGAAGATTGACCGTGCTATTATATTAATGAAACGTAAAATGCTTTATAACATCAGCTCAACATGTCGGAACAGGTCGGATCAGTGACCTGTAAAAAATCCTCTGACTTTCATGGTAGAATTCAATTTCAATTGAGGTTTACAATCAGATGGGAACTTGAAGATAAAAACGTTCTAAAAATAGACATTATTGATCTGTTTAGCTGACAGTGTAAAGTATTGGATTATATGGCCATTAAAATAAATGAAAACTTCATAACTTTCTCCAACAGCGTGACTTTCAGAAAGCCTCAAGGGATGGACTTGGTTACCGTTTCTAAATTGATACCAGGCTTCTATCGGTCAAAGTCAAATCTCCCGACCCCGGGGTCGCTTCGCACGATCAAAAGCCCGACAGGGGGATAGTCTCAGGCATCAAATCCCCTCCCCTTGCCCGCACTCCCCCCCCTCCCCCCACGGGATTTACATTGATAGGTGCATTACCTTTACTGCAGAACTCCCTTTCTGTTGATTTGCACCTCAAATTTCTCCTCCAAGGTCAAGAGCCATTTCTCAAGCTTTTGTGTTTTCAAAATGAATAAAGTGTCAAGTTAACATCTTTTACTTATATACATTTACAAAATGCTGTAAATACTTGTGGTCAAAGGGGTTTGAGGCAATTTAAATAAGTAATCTCAGCAAAAGTTAAGTTTGGATCACAAGCTTTTGCAAGATCAGACATTTCCTCGGGGTGGAGTGGGCAGGGGCTTTTTGTTTTGATTTTACCAATGTTATGCAAACTCTCTACTTCCATTCAAACATATTTGTATTAATAACTTCCTGCAAACCATGCAGCAAAGATAAAAGATTGTGCGACACAAAAATAGTCTTTTCTTCTTCAAATTTGCTCAAGTAGAAAAACAGGCACTTTGTGTTATTTGAGGAAAAACAAGCAGACATGCAAAAATTGTTAATTGTGACAACAACAAGTGAAATCATGTTACTTTCAGTTTGATTGATAGTTAGCTCAGGGGCACCCAACGACAATTTTCGGAAAATATCTGTTCGGAAGAAGATTTGCGATCTACAATTTTGGAACATTTGTTGTAAAATTTCTTGCTTGCCTGCCTCTCCTAGGATTTTCGAACACCTAAAAAATGGTATAATTGCCCATTTTTAACAGATTTTTACCCTTAAAAGATCACCTTGAATTTTCGGGAGCTTTTTTTGTGGCTGAAATTTTCGGAAAAGTAAGTTTTGATCCCTATAATTTTCGGATCACTAGACTTTCAGCTAGGAAATCCGAACAGATGAAAAATTTCTAGGGGATAAAAATATGCCTATATCTACGGTTTAAAAACTAAAATACGTTTAACAATGCTATGTTTAAGTGGTTTTGAACTATATCCTCGTTGGGTGCCCCTGCTAGCTGCCTACCTATGAAGTTCAAAATCGAAAAAAGCATCACTTTTGTGGGAAAAATATGCGGCATACATAACTTGTTTGTGTCTATTTTATCAGTTGGAATTAGATGTTACAATTAAAACACAAGAGCAGCATAAAATACAAAAGATTTTCTTACCAAAGGTCACGCATTGATCAGTTCCGCTTGCATGTAGCAAAGACCCCAGCAAACCCTATGAAGCATAAATTTGCAGTTGTCGTTTAAAATAAATACAAAGTTTCTGACTTAATAGCAGGTATCATACACTTAAATCAACATTACGTTATTGCTAATATGAAATGAAATAATAAAATGAATTTAAGAAGCGAACAGTGACAACAGTGAATCAGACAACAGTTTCATCACAAAGTGGAACTTCAATTCGTTGATTAATACAGCTGACAAATTTCATATAAAAGAGCTGGACTGGAAAGCAAGGACTATGTATCTTCTTTTCCAAGTGGCTATCCCTGTGTGGTTGAACGGCTATCTTTAAATATCACAAAAAATGTGCTTGATCCATCACATTCCTGCGTCTAAATTAAGGCATCGCGTTTCATGAGGAAGATATCCATCAGAAGCAAGAAATTAAACGAGTTGGAACTTTTGCGACAAATTGAAGGGTTTACTAATTTCCTTCACCACCTCGACTGGCTCTTGTAAAGTCGCTTTTCCTTTCGTTATAACAGATAGCTAACTGTGAGAACAGCCATAATCTACACAGGCCTTTTAAAAACAGGGCGGATCCGGTGCTAAATCACTGATCTTCATTTCAATTTTGGCAAAATTGTATTGCTTGTGCAAGTAGAATATTCGAAATGTACATTGTTTCTTTTGTACACGTTAGAAACATACTGGGCAGCTTTGCTCAATTTTAAAACAAAACGAAAGATTCGCTCACCTTTGTTCATTTCCTGTCAATTGCAGCCTAAATGAATGCAACTGAATAAAAGCTTGATGTTTCCAAATTTGAAGAAAGGTCTTGAGGCCAGACCTTATGTTTCACTCTAATCAATGCTGTGAACTCGTAGAGCGAACGAATAGTACTTTCCGGGCAAGTAATTTGCAAGTAATCCTCCTCACAAAAGAAAGTGAAAGCGCTTTAGATGGGAAACGATTGTACTTTGAAACTGAAAGGTATAGAATTACCAGAAGTTAACGACGCACGAGCAATCCACGCAGGCCAACAAGTCACTTAAGTCACGACATAAAGACATCAGGTCACGCGATTATTAACCGCCAGACAAATTAACAACCTAATAATGTTAAAGGACTTTTGTTACCCTTCAAGCAGAGGCCCTTCAATCTTCATAGATTCGTATCAATCTTCCTAGATAAGTCTACTTAGCCCCTTTGTTCCCAGGGTTGTAGGCTCTGTAAGTTTCCAGGGTAATCCTGAGGGGGGGGGGGGGGGGGTCCTCCGGGGGATTTTGGGGGGGGGGGGTCCGCCCGGTTCCCCAAATCCGGGTTTTTTTTTAAACCAAAAAAAGCATTTTTTTATTACCTTTTTTAGCTTTGGTCTTTAAATTCCTACCCATTTTTGTGCACCTCTTCTTAAGAAACATTGCATGCATGTTTTCTTTGATTATTTTTTTTTT